GGTGGCTCATCTCCAGCGGGCAGGGGTGGCACTTCTGTTTCAGGAGGGGCCAATTGCTGCACTTCGTCAGAAGAGACTGGATGCACCTCAGGAGGCTGCACTTCGGCCAAGGCTGCCTGATCCTCAACTCCAGCACCTTGCTCTTCTTCTTCTTCTCCTTCTCCTTCTTCCTCCACTGCCACCAGCTCAGCATCAAAGTCTAGAGGAAAGATAGTGCGTCCCTCTGCGTCATGCTCCCACCTCAACTTGATCAGAGGTCGGAAGTCAGCACAGAGACTCTCACCATCCTCCTCCACTCCATCTTCTTGTTCCCCAAAGGTGACCGTTGTCACGTCCACCTCTGGGTATTAGGCCTTCACCTTCTTTCTACAGTCGATGAAGGCCAGGATGGCAGTTGGAAGCCTGTACAGGTTGAGGATGCCCTCGAAGGTACTGGAGTTGAGGAAGTTGCCAATGTGCCCCCCCATCCCGTTGTGCACCAACAACTCCACGTTCTTCTTTAGCTCCACTGCCCCTTTCTTCAGGCTCTCGATATATTTGTCTTGAGCTTCGAGCTTCTCTTCGCAAATTTTCCTCTTACGTTCCTCAAGAGAGAGTTTCGTGCTCAAGACACTGTTGTCACTCTAGAGCTCGGTCACTGTTGGCGTCACCTCATCCAGCCTCCTCTGAATCTGCTAGTTTTTCTTCTGCAGCTCCCCTTTTTCCTTCTGCAGCTCCTCCTTCTCTTTTCGCAGGGCCTCACATTGCCTCTGCAAGCTGGCGCGATCTCTCACGCTCTCTGCGTACTCCTGCGTTAGAGCGTTTGTCCAGCTTGCACTCTGCAATGCAATCAGAAGTCAGACCTCAGATGCAGAAGTTAAAAAACTCAAAAACAAAACAGGAATAAATTCCAACTTTTTTGCATACCTCCAGGGCATGCCTCACAACAGTAGACCCTAGCTGGCTCACCGCTTCATCCCTTGCCCGATTCCTATCTACCTCTGGAAGAGTGGCGTTCAGAAACCGCTTCGCCCCAATGGTGTTTGCTGCCTCGAACAAACTTTTCTGGTACAAATGAGGAGGGATGAGCTCCTCGCCGTTGCCAGGACCTCGCACCATGGCCTCCTCCCTCTCTCTGAGTTCAGGATCCATTTCTAGGGGAGAAGGCCGGGGCACGAACTCAACCACCTCAACCCCCCTGGTTTCTGGCTCTACCACCTTCCTCTTCTTTCTCTGGAGGGGAGCCACTTCCTCGCTCACCTCCTCACTGCTCATCCTCACTGGCTCTGGCCTCTGCTGCACCTCCAGTGCTCGAGCAAAAGTGCTGGATGGACGTTCTCTCTCTGCCACCCCCTTCTCCGCCGCGGTTGAAGTCTTTGACTTCTTCCTTGGCTTCTTGGGGATGCGCAGGCCCCCAGCAGCATTTATGAACTCGTCCATCTCAACTGCAAAACAAACATCAATGTCAGCACACATCAGTTAAGCTCTCATCAAAATTGCACAATATAAACATCCACCAACCTTCGCTCAATGAGCTTGGCCCATAGAGCTCAGCAGCCTCTATTGCCTTCGAGCTGGTGAGGTACAAGATATCCACTACGTCTCCATCTTCCCTCACCAGCTTCTCCACCTCATCCTCATTCAACTTATAGTTGTTCTGCTTGGTTTTTTTCACTTTCCAAGCAGACAACTGTTCCACTTCGGCATCCCTCCTACTCCACTCGGTGTCATCCACAAAGAAGAATTTTTCTTTCCATCCTTTGATGGATGACGGTCCAGCAGAGAATAAACTCCTATTCCCTTTGCTGGACGACCGAGGGTCGAAGTAGTACCACCCCTTCTCCCCCCTACCCCCAACCTTTATTATAAAAAAATGTTTAAACATATTTACCGTAGGAACCCCAACCCCCCGAGCTCGGCAATATACAAGAAAGCCTATTACTACCCTTACGACATTTGGGGTTAACTGGGTTATTCCTATACTATAGTCTAATAATAACCCAACCAATAATTCTGGAATGGGGAACCTAAGCCCTGCAATTAAATAATGAACATATAAGGGCATCCAGTGGTCACGGGGTGCTGAGCATGCCCTCTCATTCACCCCGGCAGACCTAATCAGGACGTGGTGAGGGAGGTCACAGTTACCCACGAGGCCCCTAAGACTATCCCTACTACCTAACTCGCTCACATACCCCCTCACCTCGGATACTATATCTAAATCCGAGTCATAACACCCATCTACCCTATTCCCCGCCTCCAAAATGTTGGAGGGAATCTCATCTTCTTCCTCTTCTACCCCTTCTACCACCCTCTGATCCCTCCTCTCCTCCACTGTCCTCTCCGAACTAGATGGAGACGGACTGCTCTCTGTATCTATACTACCGTAATCCAGGGGCATTACTTCGCTCCCCACTACACTCATGGTCCCTTTTGAAGACATCTCCTCAAATTTCTGCATAAAGTAGGGGGAGGAATGAAGTCAGGACCCTTAAAAATGCTAACACACTCCATACATTCTCACTCCCAACCTTAATTTCCTTCAAAAACCCAAAATCAAACACAGAAAGAGAGGAAGGAGGATAGCATTTCGGCAAAATCGAACTCACAAATCGAAAATCGAACTCAAAAATTCAAAGTCAAAGTTAAAAATTTGTAAATTTTACCTGATTTTGATCTTAGGAAACTGTTGGTGAAGTTTTAATCGAAGCGCAGACCGCACGAAACCGCAGGAATTTAACAAGGATTTGGTAGCAAAATAACGAGAGTAAAAGACCCCCTTTTATAGAAGTATAGCCTTTTATACCAAAGGCAAAATACGCCTCAACGATTGTGATTAACCTTATCTAACGGCTACAAAGACACCGTTTCGAATTCGACGGTTAACCCCAAACGGTGCCGTTTCGAACTCGACGATTCGTTTTTTACATCTGCCCGTCGGGCTGTTACATTTATCTTTTTACAGCGGCATTTATTACGCGCGTCATTCAAAGGACAACTGTCATGTCGCGTACAGCCTCTTTGTCAGACTCCTCAGACGGGCCCACTTAAGCCCACTCCAACACTCTTGCTCACTTTTATCCATTCTCAATTTAGCACAACTGTTTTACTTCGGCAACCGAACAGACATCTTCGGTCACATGTTTTACTTCGGCTCCGGCCACAGTGACCCAGTGTCACCCGATTTACTTCGGCTCCGACCATAGTGACCCAGTGTCACATGCTTCACTTCGGCTCCGGCCACAGTGACCCAGTGTCACCCGATTTACTTCGGCTCCGACCACAGTGACCCAGTGTCACACGCTTCACTTCGGCTCCGGCCACAGTGACCCAGTGTCACATGCTTCACTTCGACTCCGGCCACAGTGACCCAATGTCACATGCTTCACTTCGACTCCAGTCACAGTGACTCAGTGTCATGTGCTCTGCTTTGCCTGCGATCACCATGACTCAGGTCATTACTTTTTATTATGACTCATAACTAAATATTGCCTATGGTCATCTATACATGTAAAGTCACGGATTTTTATTTCCATCACTCATCTTTATCTCTCTTTCTTCCTATTTATGCACTACCCCTTTCACTTCCAACAATATCATTCACAAGTGAATGACTTCGGGGGGGAATAGTGTAAGAGCAGGTCCGAGGTGCCCAACCTCGGACGTATGATAGTAATTCCTTTACAACCGGAGTGAAGAGTAAATCCAGAGCTTCCCGCTCGAACAGCTGCACAGCAGTTATGATGGACGTCCTTGCATCTAAATATATCTCAATCTCCCGGTCCCGAAATAACCGTCTGGAGATACACATCAGATCCCGAATATCTTGCGTGGCTTAATTTCCCAGTCCCGAAATAACTGCTTGGAGATACACATCAGATCCCGAGCATCTTGCTTGGCATGCCACGTGGGTTCTTCATCGGAACATATAAATACCCCGCAAGGGCCACGCCAAAAGGTAATTGAAACCAACCCTAAGCTCCTTGTTTCTCCACCCTAAAGGTAGCCCCGATTATTGCTGACTTAAGCATCGGAGTGTCTACCCCGAAGACCCGCCTCGGGGCTTTGCAGGTCGATTCGGAGTGCATACGTGGATTGAAGAAGGACATCTGGTTTGGTGCAATTACAACACGTTTGATTACGTGATCTCCGAAGTAAATAATAGGGAGGGTCAATCCATCACCCAAACAATTTCCAAGAGCAAGTAGGGCACTTTCCTCTTCGTTTTTTCTGCAACAATACTATAGTTATTATAATTTATATTTAATTTTAATCTTATAATTATAATATAACATTAAATATATATACATATGGCGTGGCCAATGACGGGACCATGATTTCTCCTTGGGTATGGCTTTCTTGTTCATTATACCTAAAATTGATTTTTTAGTGTTAACGCTGTTTCACCTCTGCTTATGACCATAATATATTGTAGTTAAATAAAATGAATAAAAAGGATAAAAAATTGAAATACAAAAGACCAAATTGTAGCACGAATGAATGAGTAAGGGCTGGCAGACAACCAAAAAAAAAAAAATGCAAATCCAATTGAAGAATTAATGTGCACTGTTCCATTTTAGTAGATTTTTTTAGTATATCAAATATTGAGTTATATAACGATGAATAGCCCTTCTCTTTCCAAATCTCTTCTCATTCATTTCAAAATTTGAAATTGAAATCTCCAAAGTAGAGGCTAAAGTTTTTATCACTAGGATGTCCCCAGAGGACTAATAGAATTTTTTTGTCTTGGTAGGAGAGGACCAGTAGATTAAAATATATGAATTCCTTTTTCTTACCATGAAGTAGAAGGATTTGTGTAGATTCTCTTCTACAAAATTTGTGAGGGTCTAATTGGATGGTGTATTGAATTAATAAATTATGGGGTAATATTGAGAAGTTCGTATTGGTAGGACTTGGTTTTAGGAATTCAATTGAGAGGATATAAAATGGAATTTTAACCTTTTAAAAAAGAGCTAGTTGATTTTAAAAGTTCAAATTACTTGAAGAGAGCGTTGGAATTGGAAGTAGTTAGAAACAAAGACAAAAAAATATAATAATAATAATAATAAAGCAAAAAGTGGAAGAGAAGGAAATTGTAGTTGTGAGAAACTAAGAACCAAAGCATTTGCATTGGTTTGTTGCAAAGAG